TGTTAGTTTTCTTTGAGGTTACTTTATAGTCCATTAACTTTTCCCTCCATTTAGTGCAGTCTATGTTATCCTGTAATCTACCATGTAGGCAGTTTAGATAGAAGGTTCCGGCATTGCTCAGAAGTGAAAAGTAGATCACCTTGCATTCCAGCCTCAGTTTTCCAGAATGTCTTCCCAGCCCATCTTCCCTAGCCAGCACAATGACATAGGTCAAATCACTACTAAGAAACTGTATCAGATGTTTCTGCCTTGCCAAAGTGTTTTGTCATTTTTTTAATGCTCTATGTGAGCAAGTGGCATAAATAGTCCATAAAACAAGCTGACTTAAACCACCTAGTGTATGCCGAGTTCTTCATTGATATTGTGTATTGTGGCTGTTGTCATATGTTAAATGCCAAGAAAAACTGTTTCTTACCAATGAAGCTTTGAAGATGCGTAGTGAAGGAAGCTGATGTGAGTAATTTCCTTGTGTTTACTTAGGGGAACTATTAAGAAAGGAAGGTTTCAAGCGTGTTCCCTTCCAGAGGGTTTGAAGCTCAAGTGATATTAAAATATTTTTGTTTGTTTCTATATAAAAGCCTGAAGCCCCACGGTGCCTGAGGGGACCACATGTGGTGCTTCTATCTGAGATCATAAACCGTGAGAAACCTGATTATTGTCTGAGTATCACATTGAGAGCACATGGCTGTCTCAACATTTACAAAGAAAGGCTTCGCATATATCTACATCAGTAGTTGTGTTGTGTGCGTAGTCTGCTGGATGGAGCTCTGATTTCCATACATTTTTAGAAAACATCGGTTGGTCCATCATTAGATAGGTATAGTACCACCCACCCACCACCACCCTTTGCTCTAACATAAAAACCATATCTCAACCAAAGCAAATTACTTTTTCTTACTCTCTCCGACTCTCAAGGAAAATGTTAAACAACTTGTGCCAACAAGTCTCACTGAGTACTTGAGTAGATCTTAATAGAGATCAGGTTGAGATGGTTGGACAGGGCTCCCAGAAAGTAAAAGAATGTTCCTTTTCAGAGACCAAGTCAGTAGAGAGATTAATTTGGCCTTGGAATTTGGAGGGAGACACGACGATGAGCTTTCAAAGAAGGAAGTGGCGCCAGGACGCCGAGCTAGAATAGAAACCTCCAGATTTAAGAAGGTAGACCATGAATGCCTAAAGAGGACTGAGTACTTTTACATGAGATGAGCCAGCCAAGTGTAAGAGCCTACCAGTTTTGTGTATGCCAAAGATGACCTTACAGGGAATGCCAGTGTCCATACTGAAAACGGACTAGGCCTTGGGGTCTGACTAGAGAAGAAAGGCAAGGAGAGGGCTGAAGATGCATGTTTATCTTTTACAAGGTGGGAGGACCCAGCCAGCATCTTTTTGAAGGGAAAAGGCCCTGGGGTCTTGGAGTTCTCGTATATATTTGATGATGTGTGGGATCCTTGTGGGAAAATTACACCATAAAGCAAGCCCCTCCCTCTCATAGCAACACCATTCAGTAAGGTGTCTGTATATGACCATTGACTTTCTGACTACGGAACTGCATTAACTTATATTTTAAAAGGCTATCATATTGGACAGCACATGTGAGGGTCAGACCAGAGTGCCTTGTCTTAGATTAAAAGGAAAAAAAAAAAAAAAGTGTGGTTTGGAATTCACTTTTCTTCAGCTGATTCTCATTGCTCGGTTTGGAGGGTAGAGTAAATTACTTTGGTGATTTTTCATTCGAGGCTATTCCTCTCTCATTCTACATACCTAATAGCCCACGAATATTTAATTTAGACAATAAGAAGAATTGACTAAGAAATTAAGAATCATAAGAATTAAGTTGAAGTCATAGTTTTTAAATTATTTTTTAAATTTTCCTTAGCAAGCTGCTTAATTGCCTTTGCCTACATATTAGTGTTGTGTATGTCATTTTTATTGTAAGGCCTTTTTAGCTAGGACCGTGGCTCTATGTTGTGGACTCAATATGCTATAATTGTATTAACATACGTATGTGCATCACTATTAGTCGGAGTTCACTTGATGGTAGCACTGTGGGTTAGTGCTCTGGACTGCAAAGTCGGTTTGAACTACAAGGTCAGTGGTTCAAGCTCACCTATCACTCCTTAGAAACCCCATACAGCGTCACTCACTGTGGGTCAGAACCAACTCGACGGCACTTAACAACCGCAACAACCTATAGGAGCCCTGGCGGTGCTGTAGGATAAGAACTAGACTGTGCTAGCTACAAGGTTGGCAGTTCAAATCCACCACTTGATCTGTGGGAGAAAAATGAAGCGATCCTTTCCTATAAAGACTCATAGCCTCCAAAGCCCTAGGCAGGGTCACTGTATGCTGGAATAGACTTGGTGACATATTTAAATCTGACTGGATTCTGGACTGTGAAGATCACCACAGTAAATGAAACTCTCCTATTCTAAATCTTGTTTTATTCTGGTTCTCATTCCAAACGTGAAAAAACTTTTTACTTTTGGTTTCTTATACTTCCTTTTCTCGTTGTTGTTGTTAAGTGCCGTCGACTCAGTTCTGACCCATAGCAACCCTGTGTAGGATTTCCAAGGAGCGTCTGGTAAACTTGAACCACTGACCTTGAAGTTCAAATGATTTTGCAGTCTGGCGCATTAACCCACAGTGCCACACCAGGACTCCTCTTTTCTTTGTTGTTGTTGTTGTTGTTAGGTGCCATCGAGTCGGCACCGACTCATAGTGACCGTATGCACAGCAGAACGAAGCACTGCCCGATCCTGGGCCAACCTCACTACTGTTTCCACCCTTGAGTCCATCAATGCTGCCACTTGGCCAGTCTGTCTCGTTGAGGGTCTTTCTTTTTCTGTCCCTCCATCTTACAAAACATGATATCCTTCTCCAGTGACTGGTCCCCCTGAGAATGTGTCTAAAGTACGAGAGATGAAGTTTGGCCATCTTGGCCTCCAAGGAGCACTCTGGCTGCACTTCTTCCAAAACTTTTCTAATAGCAACTAAATTACTATTTTTCCAGAAAATACTTCTAACTTAATAATCAGGCTGCTGTTGAGCTTCTGCAATTATGAAAGCAATACTAGAAAAGAATTTCATGTCTCTCTTCTTTGTTCTGTGTCATGTTTGCCAGGAACGAGAGACATTTTAGAGAAGAGCCAGGAAGTTGATGAAGTCAAGGCAACAAATAGAATTAGTATCATCGCTTATGATACTAGGAAATTAAAATCCTAACTTGTGGTATATGTTTAACAAGGGAATACTTGTGGTGCTATGGGTTAATGCGCTGGACTGCAAGTTCAGAGGTTCAATCTCACCAGCCACTCATTGGAAACCTTATGCAGGATCGCTATGGGTCAGAACTGACTCGATGGCACTTAATAACAACAACAGACCTATTACTTGATGTGGCTGAGTAACCATTCCTGGCTGATATTCTAAGGAGCCCTGGTGATGTAATTGTTAAAGCACTCAGCTCCTAACTGAAGGATCAGCAGTTCAAACCCACTAGCTTCTCCTCAGGAGGACGATGTGGCAGCCTGCTTCTGTGTCAGTTTACAACCTTGGAAACCCTGTGGGACGGTTCTACTCTTACAGTGTTGACTATGAGTCAGAATCAACTCTAACACAATGCATTTTGTTTTGTTTGGACTGATACGTCAGAGCCTGTGGGTAAAATGTAAACCCTT